GCGCCGCCAAGGCCGGCCCCATCGGGCCACGAGCGCCGCCCCGCGCGGCCCCTTAAAGGGCCCCGCACCCGCCGAGCCCCGCCGTCCGTCCGTCCGTCCGTCCGTCCGTCCCTCTGTCCGTCCCCAGCCATGAGGAGACTCGTCCTCCTGCTCTGCACCGCCCTGGCCTGCTGCACGGCGGCGGGGAGCGCCCCGCGGGTGGCGGAGGCTGCTCTGCTAAGAGAAGGTGGGTCGAGCGGGGCTCCCACGCGGGACGGCAGCAGCCCTCCGCCGTGGGGTGCACGAAGCAGGGCTCCCTCCTTCTCCCAGGTGGGGTCAAAGGGAGTTTTGCTGATTTTCCTCCTCCGCCGGTGTCCAGATGCCACCCTCGCCGAGCTGCTGGAGGCCAGGCGGGAGCATGTGCCGGCGGCGAAGGCGCAGGTGAAGTTCCATCTCCGCTCCTCGCCCCGCGCCGAAGAGGACGGCTGCGCCCTCGCCGTCGGCCACCGCCAGCGGTTGGAGGACTGCAAGTTCAACGCCACGGCTAAAACCTTCTTCATCATCCACGGCTGGACGGTAAGGACGGAGGATGCCGCGGGCTTCTGGGCGACGCTCCGCCTTCGAGCCGCCCGCTCGGAGAGAGCGTGCTGCCCTGTAAAGCGTCCGCTGCTCTAGAATACGCGGGATTTGGGACAAGTTTTCGTGTTTGGAACGCTGCGGCCCCCTGGTAGCTGCACCTGAGGTTGCTGGAGCAAAGCGGGGTGGGTCAGACTCTGTGAAATCACCCAGCTCATTCGCAACGACTGATTCAAGATCACTTCACATCTGTATAATGTGAATGTGGTAAAGGGAACTTGAGGTTTTTCCCTAAAATCCAACTAACTGACCGCTGTGAAGGTGGCACTCGGCTTGACACGCATACAGACTTTCTGTAAGTTCAGCTGCGTGTCCACAGTCCTCACCTCTGCGATGCGGTTTCCTCGATAAAGAAACAGAGGGCAGACAGACTTTATCAAGCTTTCTGCTCCTGCATTTGATGTGGGCACTAGGGGACTTATCAATTCTACCAGGGCTTATGCAAACAGCGGTGCCAGGACTGGCAAATAATTTTGCAATCTATTAGAAGGGCTGAAACTCTCAAGAAAAAGAGGGATAAGGTGGCATGTACTGAATGCCTCTCCTTCCTGCCCTAAAAGGCAAGGTGGCTAATTACATCCAGAGTCTCTCAAAACCTGTTTTTCTTAGACCATTAGCACAGCGCTGAGAAGTAGTGGGGTTTGCAGAGGAGCAGCATACAGCTGGCGCAGAGTATGTAAATGATATACTAATAACTTAACCGTGAATGTGTAATCTTGGTCTTGGGAGCTGGAAAGTAACACCTGAATCTCTTTCTAGATGAGTGGCATGTTCGAAACCTGGCTGGGCAGCTTGGTCTCTGCTCTTCAGAAGAGGGAGAAGGATGCCAACGTGGTCGTGGTGGATTGGCTTTCGCTTGCCCACCAGCTCTATACCGACGCTGTGAACAACACACAGATTGTTGGAAAAAGCATAGCGAGGCTGCTTGACTGGTTACAGGTAACACAAGTTAAGAACGGGCTCTGTTGTAATGCTCCGTGAAAGACTCTTGCACAAGGGAACGGAGCATTCACCAGCTCCGGCGCTCACCAGTGGGGAAGGCTCTGGCGTAATCCCAACCCCGAGGCTCGGCGAGGTGATGGCTCATAGCTAAGGTGCTGTGCTCAGCCCTTGCACCAGCAAGCGCTACCCTGCTTTCCTAGAAGACGCTGCTTTGCAGCATGCTCAGATCAGTGAGTGGAGCACACTTCAAATTTGGAGTCCTGTCTGAGCGCTGTGAACTCAGGAGTTGGGCAGAGTCAGCCTTGGCTCGGCAAGAGGGTGGAAAAGGAGAAGGTGCATGGTGCTACGCTTGGCGCTTGTGTCCATGGCCAGTACTGAGGGCTGCTGGCAGCTCCCTGGGAGAAGGCTGCTCCAGATGCTGCTTAATCAAAGGACATCATAATTGGGGGTGGAAGCTGGGTACTGTGGCTGGGGGCAAGCCACAAGCGCCATCCAAACCATTCAACCTGTAGTTGTCTTGATGAAATAAATAACGAAGCATGCTTGTCTGCCCCCTCCCTCCAATCTCTTCTTTGAATCAGACTTGAGAGTCCTGCAGATAGGAACAGCACCAGATGCTCCGAAAGACAGAGGGGCAGATGATCTTATCTTTCTTTCCTTGCAGGAGAACCCGCTCTTCCAGCTCGAGAATGTCCACCTGATCGGGTACAGCCTGGGCGCCCACGTTGCCGGCTTTGCTGGTAACCACGTCCGTGGGACAATAGGCAGAATTACAGGCAAGTGGCTTTTTAAGCAGTCTCTTACCTTTCCTTAGCGGCAAAGAGTTTCCCCGAAGAGGCTTGTTTCCTGTGTTGCTGCGATGTTGTTTTGGGCTTGCTTGTTCAGAAATTACAAGTTTCCTAGCTGTGGCAGCAGTGGGGAGCACAGGTCTCTTCCTATGAGAGAGTATCTTAATTTTGAACCCCAAATGTAGGTGGGGGTCAACAAAAAAAACCCAACACCTTTCAGAGGACAACCTGATCTTGAGTATATTTGAAGTTAAATGTGCGTTCAAAACAAGTCCAGCTCAAGCTCTTACTGTCCAAATCCTAAGCCTCTGAGTGATACTGTTATTGCAGTTATAGCTCATGAATGAATAGAAGTGAGAGCTATTGGGTGCTGTTTGCCCCATAGCATGTTTGGTCAAAAAAAACCAACCACCAACCAACCCCCCCAAAAAACCCCAACCTCTTATTCTGAAAATATCTTGAAGAGAGTGCTTCTGACTCCAGAGGAAATCCGATTTCAACATGTGAGAACTTAGGGCATGGTACAAGGGGTTTTATTAAGCATTTAAATGTGACACCGGCAGTGAGAATTGCTCAGAGCCTAGCATTAAATATCTATATTTAGTTAAGCAGGAAAATCACCAAACAGTCAACTTGGGGAATGGCTCAGGAGCACAGCTTCAGGTTGGGGGTGAGGCTCAGGGGTTAACAGAGCATCCCAAACCCATCAAGGGATTTCAGATGCAGGGATTACCTGGCTGCTGCTTAAACGTGCATTAGTCCCTCCATATGTCCAGTCTGAAAAAATCGACTAGACATCACCAAGGCAGCTTTGGCAACCAGCGGTCTCTGTGGGGTGCTAGACCTCTTCTGGTGTTCTGTCCTCTGCTGCTACCTCTTGAAGTATCTCTTCACTGTGACCGAGCAAAGACTCATTGCTTCCAACGGGCAATCTGAAACCATCGCTGCAGAGCGGACTGGTGCTACTGCTGGGTCGTATTGAACCAAAAATAGCACGGGACATTTTCATTTGTTCCCTCAGTGAAGGGAGTTCCCTCATGGTGAAGAGATCTTGGGGGACAGTATCAGCAACGAGGCAGGGACCGTCTGTGTAGCACTTGGTTAGGAGGGCTGCTAGCAGCAGGCTTCTAGCTATATTCTGTATGAAATAACCCAGTTTCTTACCTGGCATCTTGCGTACTGTCTCTAACACCAGGCTTGGATCCAGCTGGCCCTATGTTTGAAGGAGTGGACCCTAGCAAGCGCCTCTCCCCCGATGATGCTAACTTTGTGGATGTCCTTCACACCTACACAAGGGAAACTCTAGGTGTTAGCATTGGGATCCAGATGCCTGTAGGCCATGTTGACATCTACCCCAATGGGGGAGACTTCCAGCCTGGCTGTGGTTTAGGTGATGTCTTGGGAGCAATTGCCTATGGGAGTAAGTTCTCATTATTTATTTTGCCTCTGGTCAGTGTAGACTCCTCGCAAATAGGCTTGGGTTGATGCTGGGGGATGATCTGATTTACCAGAGCAAGCTATTTTTTCATTCTAAACTGCCTGTTCTACTGGAGATACTTGCTAGAAACTAGACCTGCTTTTAATTCTGAAGTAGCATGTTCTCATTCTAACACCTGATCACAAACTATGGTCATCTTATGCTGGGTCTAGAATCCTCATGAAAGCTCTCTTCATAGTAGAGACTAAGTGAACGGTCCTCTTCAAGTGTCTTCCACTAACCTCTCAAATTGCTACTGTTTGAAAAATGTTCAGCTTTAGCCATGGTCAACTCGTGTTGGGCTACAAAAAGGCATAGCTCACTGTATCTTACCAGCTGCTGGGGTAATAAATGCTTAAACAAAACGTATCCCTTGCAACTCTGCTTCTCTAGCAATTGGTGAAGTTGTTAAATGTGAACACGAGCGGTCTGTGCACCTCTTCGTGGACTCCCTCGTGAACCAAGATAAACAAAGCTTCGCATTTCAATGTACCGATTCCAGTCGCTTCAAGAAGGGCATCTGCCTCAGCTGCCGAAAGAACCGCTGCAGCGGCATTGGCTACAATGCCAGGAAGACACGAAACAAAAGAAACAGCAAGATGTACTTAAAAACAAGAGCTGACATGCCCTTTAAAGGTATGCTTTCCCTCTCAGAAAGCATAGTCTCATCTCTAAGAGCAGACTCCCAAAGTCGATGTTGGGAAGGATGTAGAGGTGGCAGAGTAGCATCACCTCAAAGCAGCCCAGCACCAGGCGTTAGTCTTTCGCTGTTACCTGGCTGCCTTGCTGTCCTGTGGCATTACTGTGCTCCTTCCTCTGTGTAAAATAATCAACAGGACTCTGGCTGTAAGGACGCTCTGCTTTTTGAGCAGGGCTACAGTCCACACATGTCGTATTTGCAAGACCACCCCAACCTTAGAGCAGTGTAAGGTTTGGGGAGCCCTCCCCAGAGCGGACCTGCTGTTTTTGTTATGTAAATGTCAACTCTGTAATCAGTAAGGGCAGGAAAAAGTGATCAATGATGTCTCAATAAAGAAAGTGTTGGCTGGCAAAGGCCAGACCCTATTTCACAAACAGCCATGCTGAGCAATGTTGTGTCTCAACAAACTTGGTTCCATGTATGCTCTCCTTGTCTCTCTCCAGTCTACCACTTTCAGATGAAAATGCATGTCTTCAGCTACAAGAGCTTGGGAGAGGCCGATCCCACTTTCTCCGTCACCCTTCATGGCACCAATGGAGACTCTGAACCTCTCTCTTTAGAAATGTAAGTAAGCTGGTTTGTCATGTTTACTTAAGTAAAGAAGGCCACTGGGACTAGACAAGGTGGCATCATTCTTTTTCCTCTGTTAACACTAGCATTGCACCTGAGCCTAGCAGCCTCACTCCATCACCATTCAAAAAGCTTTTCATCCAGTAACTTAATTATAGTTTATTGCTGAGAAAGCAATTTGATGTGCCCAGTCCTCTGCATACTAGCCTTCACAGCTCATTGTTGAAGTACTTTGTTTTGCTTTTTCCCTCTCCCATTTGGGTATAGTCTGAAAGCAGCCCTATCTCTAGAGGCATTGTTGACCTCCTTTAGCCTCTCCCAGAAGAAACACAAGGCACGAAATTCACCTTTAAGCTACGGACGGATGGCTGAGCCAAATACACAACACATTGTATTGAAGCGGCTATCTAAGCTCACTTTTAGTGTAATCAGTAATTATCTGGTGACAGTTGAACGTGGAGCACTTGATAAGCTGCAGAGGGCTCTGTTTTAACTTCTTGCATGGAATGAATGAGCATCTGGCACGTTTCCATAAGGAAGCAATATTGAGCGTCTGCTTGTCTTTCAGGCTTGATCAAATTGGCCTAAACGCTACTAACACCTTCCTGGTCTATACTGAAAAGGACATGGGTGAACTTCTAAAAATAAAGCTCACCTGGGAAGGAACATCTCAGTCATGGTACGATCTATGGAAAGAGCTGAAGAGCTACTGGTATCGGCCTGTGAAATCTTCCCAGGAACTGCATATCAGACGCATACGTGTGAAATCTGGGGAAACGCAACAGAGGTAATAATTGCGTTAGGCTGCATGTGAGAGAGATTAGAATCTAGCACAAAAAGTTGAGGTTTTGAACTTAGTCAGCACCCTGAACTGTCTTTCATTTTCAGTGTTACCAGCTAACGCTGCCTCATGGTGTAGGGTAGGGGGTTACTTGCCAGCCTGAGTCTGAAAACAAGGCTTTAAGCAAAACTAGTCACTGCAGATCAGATCTGGGATGTTCTTTTGCTTTATTTAGATACTGTGACACTATCTTGCCTGCCCTCGGGGACTAAATTAGCCTACTTCACGATGGTTTAGATCCTACCTGAAGGGTTACGGTACAGACAGCGCCAAATATGCTGAAAGGTAGATGGGGCACAGCTATTATTTACAGGCATAACGTGCTGATTTGACACAAGCAGCTAGACCTAAAACTGCAACCGGTAACACGGTGACACCAACTCCTTAAGCACTATATTGCTCCTACCGAGATCTCTGTAATTGGAAAGCTACCTGAGCAACCAACGAGAAGTAAAGCTGCCAAACATACAGCACTGCGCTCCCAAATCTTGTGTTAACGTTGTTCTGAAGGTCACGCAGATCCGTCAAAGAAAAATTGAGAATTTCCCATGTTTCTCAGAGCTTTGAATAAGCGTTACCTATCATCTGTAAGGTATTCTAGTTTCTACAAGCTATGAAACATAGGTGTAGTAGAAGCGGAGATCCCCAGATAAAATATTGAAGTAGGAAATAAAACAGCCATTCAACAGGCTAATGGTGTGTCAAGATGCTTCACAGGAAGGACATTAAATCAAACAACTTGTTCTGGAATTAGCTACAATCCATATTATACGCTATTTTTTAATCATGGAGATAACAGGTGCCTTCTCTTGACTTCCGATTCTTCCTCCTAGGTTTGCTTTTTGTGTGGAGGATTCCCAGCTAACCAATATATCTCCTGGTAAAGAGCTCTGGTTTGTGAAGTGCACAGGGGAGTGGCAAAAAAGGTAGGGAAAAAAAATCAGCTAAGAGAAATCCTGTCTGATGCATGTGGCTGTGCTGGGATGAGTAGAACCTCTTTTTTTTTGTTGTTCAGACTCCTGGAACCTCATTTTCTTTCAAAAAAGCTAATAAATTCTAGCCCAAGATTCCCAGCTATTAGACTTAAATTTCGTGTATGCCTCAACTATCACTAGCTGGGTGATACTATCCTCGCTTCTGATCTTGGTTTATTTTGTACCTTTACATGCTTACTACCCAATTGGTATAACACAATCCTTGGGCCTGAAGAACCTCTCTGCTTGCTGTCACAGTATGGGTGCTACCAGTACCCAATGGGCAATAGTGGAGAGCTAATGAGAGTTATCTATTAACTGCCCTGTAAAACAGAGGAAAGCTGGGAGCGCAGGGGATTGCCTCAGAGATCATTTCAGCCTGGCAGACAATCTTGAGCTGCCAAGAAATCTCTTGATTAAAGTTTGAGCTCAACTGCACGAGCAAGACCCAGCTGAGGACTTGCCATGTTGTTACAGTAGTGACTCCCACCACCTCACCTCTGGCCCTGCTAGTCTCTTCTGGCTCAGGAGAGCACAAACTCAGGTGTTGCCAGGGCACCTCAGCCCTGCTTAACCTCCGAGGGACTTTCCAGACACCTAGGATCAGTCCCCAGAGCATGACTTCCAGTAAGCCTGCTCCCAGCAGTGACAGCTTGATTGCTTCAGGCTGCCTCTAGTCATGTTTTGAACAAATCCCTCTTCATTTGACTGCGTGACAGTCTCCTTCAGATGAAGCCCAGCCTTTTGGCCTCTCTTAAATTTCAATTTGTAAACTTAGAGCTTTGTCGCTTCTAATCCAGAGACAAAGTGCTTGTTAGGGCTAGGCAAAGCCCCGTGGAAGTCGGGCTTTGCACAACCCTCTTGGGCAGCAGAGTTCAGCTCAGAAATGTGAGCTGGTACTGCTCCAAGTTTGGCAGAAACCAGCAAGCTGTGCTGCATACGGTAGCAAACAATTCTGTGAACGAAACCCCTGTGCAAAAACTTGTTGCTCTGCCCCAAGTCTTGAAAGATCAAGTAAATATTCCTGCAGGTACAATAAAAGGCTGTTTTGATACGCTAGTCGGTAACCCCCATAAAACAGAATTGCTGGCAGATGTGCCCTTCCTGCTTACTCATGGAGTACAGCTTTTACACGAGGCGGAGAAGCAGATCTGAGCTCTAACGCACTAAGGTTTCTAGGAAATGATCCTTCCTCCCAGAGATCACGAGCAATTACTTGCTGTTCAGCTCTCCACTCCTGCCAAGTCACTGCAAGATTATAGTTCCCTACTTGGAGATTTGAGTCTGCAAACATCTGTCCACCCTGAATGGATCTGAACAGGCAGAGTCTAGCGTCAAGACCTGTAATTTCTGTTTGCAGCCTACTTGCGTGCATAATGTCTGCTTCGGGCTCTCGTTGAGTAGCTACTGGGCAAAGCGCTGCTTTGACAGAATAAAATACCAACCTGTACTGTCTAAACCTGTTCTTAGAATCCCAGAGTTTCTTAGGAATTCTTTATTACTCCTCTTAACTTCTGCATTTAACTAGATTATTTTTTTTTCCCCTCTCTGCTTTTCCCAGATCTGTCTCAGATTTGCTCTGAAGACTTCTCTAAAGACTCACAACTGAGCAACCTAGATGCACAAAGACCACACAGGCGGCAAGATGCTCTGGCAAAAATCCTGCTTGGTAGCACTTAAAGCAAGCAGCTCTTCAGGACAAAACATCTTGGATCAGATGCAAGAAACTGAGGAGGAATTGATGGACTGCGGTCCTAGACCTAGAGTTACTAAAACTACATTCTCCCTTCCCCAAGGAGCCTGGTTTGTGCATTTAACCTTACCTTGACCCGTTCCACGCTGAATTTCCTGCCCTGCTCCCGTTTACCAGGACCATGGATGAGATCTTCACAGATCTAGACCTCAGCAATGATCTTCTGGTCTGCCTGCCAGGGGAGTTGAGAAGATAACCACGCTAACTGCCCATCAGACTGTTGGTGACAGAGCTGCCAAGAATAAATTAGCATCTAGCGTAGGAGTTTCCCTGGCTCCAGTAGCACTATGGACTGGGGGAAGATGAGACCAGCACAGGTCAAGCGTGGGGGGGTCGTTCAGGGGAGGGGTGGGAATAAGCACAATGCCACTTAACTTCAAGTTGTCCTTTGCTTGCCTTAAAAAAATAATCTGTTCTGTGTCCAGCCGATACCGAAATCTCTCTGTCTGACCTTATAAGAAGGTAGTACTCCATCCTCCCTGTACCTCGGGCAGAACACGGTGCAGATGGTGTTGGCAGACGCTCCTCACTCCCCAGTCACTGCCTGGTCCCATGTGTTGATCTCTACAAAAAGCAAATGCCAGCTGCCCTTCCACTGACGGTAGGGGAGGAGGAGGGTGAGGAACCGTACTGCTTCAGGAGAGCTTTGCACCAGCCCTTTTAACTACTGAGAAAGCGTTCGCCTCTGTTCAGATGGTATTGTAGTACCAGCGCATAATTAAGACCTTATTTTTGTGCAAAGGATTTAACCGAGCCACACAGATGACATCCTCCCCTCATTGACACAACGTCCCGGTTGGATTCCCTGGTGCCAGGTGAACTTGGCTTTGCTCCGAGTTTGACGGACTCTACAACCGTCCTGTTTACTACAGCAGAGTGGACCTTGTCAGAGGTGAACTGTTGTTTTGGCTTTTTTTTTTCCCCCCCTTTTTTCTTTTTGGAAGGAGACTTGGTATAACAACCCTCAAGCTTCTGGCATGCAGAAAAGCAGTCTCAAAAAATGGTGTTGCCAGATGGTGCACTGAGTTCTGAAGACTTAGCAAGTCCTTCTGAGGCCTGCAATTCTCTGAGTTTTGTAGAGCTTCAATCCAACCAAAGCAAGCACATTTGGAGATATTTTTTTTTCCCATGGTTTTATGCAAAGGCTTCAATAACTGAAGCCTTTAGTAAGTATCTGTGACTTGTCACCGTGCCATACTTAGAATGGTTTCAAAGCCCTATTTGTATATTGTGGTTTTTGTATGACTTAAAACATAATTTATTTCTCATATTGTACATATGTAAAGTTTTAAGCATTTTGGTTTTGAGTAACAGTTTTTATAAGCCTTAAGAAAAAAATAAAGGGCTTTGTAAAAATGAGTGAAGTCTTGTTCTTGATCTACCACAAGCTTCGATGTGCCTTGCAAGAACAACAGCATATGGCCATCTTGTCCCTCGATATCTACTCCTGTGTTGTAGCTCCAGAGATGCCCATCATACAACATTACAAGTTTACTTCTAGCTTTAGTCTAGCAGCGAGAATGTGATTTCAGCAGCGCCCAGGGGATTGTCTTTTTTTTTTGGCAGAGTGAATATTACAAAATAAAAATCCCTGTCTGGGTAGCAGTAGAGGGGTTTTCTCTCTGCCCCTTCCCCACAATGTCTAAGACTTGTTCAGCAGGGGAGACTACCAAAAACATTCATTTTTCCTTCCCACCCTGTTTTCTTTCAGCCATAGCAATACCACTACTGCTTTTGGCTGGGGGAAAGCCAGATTTTGTGTTACTTGCTCTCTATGGCTATTGCAGTGAACACAGTGGGCTCTGGGAAGACCATTGCTGCTCTGCCAGGCCAGCCAGGACAAGTTAGGACAAACTCCCTCTTCTCTGTTGATATCCTGCATTAATGCTTTTTTCCTCCATTGAAAGTCTTTTTTTTTTTTTTTTCCTTGAAATGCTTCACCATTGCCTGACTTCAATAGCTAGCCCATTGGTGAATACTTTTGAGAAAAACTTACCCAAATTTGATCACTGAGTTTTCCCAGCTTTTTCCAGCAGCCACACCATCAAGTCCAAGGAAACCTCTCACTGTGCTCTGCCTACACCTGACAAATCCAGCAGCAACAGGAGGACTTTGCAAACAGAGTAAATACCTCCAAGCTGTGCAAGATATGTATGAAATTACTTAGTTAACCTTTTCCTACAAAAAGCCCAGCAGTGGCTGGACTACAAGGAAAACTACCTTTGTAGATTTGGCAGAGCAATGGGGATGCGTGTAGGGCCCCTAATTATTCTGCACCCCAGAGCTGGAGGAGGTTTTTTTTTTTCCTAACATGTTCCTGCGGGGCTACCTTCCACCCTGTGCAAAGTGTGGGGACACTAATACCAGAAACCATTCCAGACATCTTTTTTTGCATGCTACCCCTTGGATAGAGCTGCAGTGCAAGGACAAGCAGGTGCTGGCCCCTTCTGCATCCAGCTGCTTTCTACGAGGTAAAGGGTAAAGAATATAAGCGCGCAAGAGAGGAAGAACAGGCTGCAGCTCTTTCGCATCCATGGGCATCCCCTCCAGGCATCTGGCCCTTCACACAGCAAACGTGGGCTCCCAAATTCATCGCTCCTGCTGCTCCACGTATTGAGGCTAACATCACACCTCCTGGCACGTCAGCACGCATCCCTGCACGGTTGTACGTTAGACAAGTAAAAAAAACAAAGAGAAGGGGGTTGTTTTGTGGGGGTTTTTTGGAAATATCTAATGAATTTAGGGTCAGCAGAACAGGCACATCCAAAATCTGTGCCAAGCGGGGCCGAGGCTGGACCGGCCGTGGGGCTGAGGGCTGACCACCCTGCTCTCAGCCGCCCGGCAGCCCTCCCCATCCCCCAGGTTTATTCAGGATCACTTTTTCACAGCCACTCCATTCAGCCCCACGAGTCGGGTCCCACCAAAGGTCAGGCCGTGCCTCTGGAGAAACAATACGCCCCGCACGGGGAACGCTTTACGACCCTCCTCACCCCCCACCCGGGGCTGCCCCAGCTCCGGCATCCGAGTGCCAGCACCAGCTCCCGCGAGCAGCGGCAATCGGGCAACGTTTCGCCAGGTTCCCCCCCACCAGCATCTTTGCTTTTGAAGGTAAGTTGAACACAAAGGCTGTTTGGAGCTTGCTTCTCCCCCGTTTCCCAGCGTGGCATCACCCCTTCGGTCGGTGCCGTCAGATGGGTCAGCAGAAATCCCTGACACGGGAGGTACCAGCTGTCGCACATAGACAGTTTTCCAAAATCTGGGCAGAATAAATTCAATATAACAGCTGTGTTCAGGAAAAGAGAGAGACCAGCCAGTCCTTTTGGGAACAAGGACAGCACATTCTTTGCTGGCTTCCCATGCTGAAATAATGAGGCAGCCCCACTCCACCAGGTAAAAGCTTTTCAGCCATCCCCAAAAGCAGCCTCACCAAAAGATGACCGCAACTGTCCAAGAAACCCAAGATCCTGCTCCTCGGACCGTGATAACGAGTTGTAATTTTACGCCTGTTCAGATGCTGACATTCCAACATAAATTATACAGCTCATTGCCTTCCTAGCAATCCCATCCAGCCCAGCAGCAAACACAAAGAATCTGGCAACTTTTACAAATCCATGCAAAAGTATCAGGAGACCTCATGCTGTCCAGAGGGATGGGTAAAGCAGCTTGACCCAGAGCTGACCCAAGTTTAAAATAAAAAAAAAATCAAATCACTTTTTATTGCTTGATTGTTTTTTTTCCTATGTCTGTCCTTTCTGTTCTCAGTTGTTTTGCAGCTGTTTCACAAAGCTTTAGGATGCTTATGGCAAACCATATAAAGAAGAATCAAAGTACAAAGATTCAGAATCCTTTTCTTCTGACCTGACTTGTAATAACATTGAAAACTGAGGAAAAGGGACCAATAAAAGTAAGGTTTTCCAGGCCATCCTGTTCCACCTCTCCTAGCCAGCTGTCCTAATTATTGCAAACAGGCAAACCAGCTCAGACAAAGTAAGAAATGACACAAGACTTGGACCAAACCTTAAGGTAAATCTGGTTGATTTTTTTTTTCCCCTCCTTTCCATATGGCTTTCCATATCCTGTTTTTGGCTGAAAACCGATATATCCTACCAAATTATGAAGAGAAAGGCCACATTCAGCTTAGCTGGAGCTAAGGAAGTATAACTGAAACAATCTTACTCCCATGCCATAAAAATCTGCAGATGTTAATGAGAAGATGATCCTTGCTCCGCAGATCTCTGTGAAACAGCCAAATCTGTCGGTTCTTTGAATAACCCATTAAAGAAACACCCATGGAAAAGCTGGATTATATATTATTCATACATTGCAATGGAGGGAACTTCTAATGACGGATCTCAAAATATCAGTTGGCTAATAAAGCTTGACATTTCTCTCTAAATTTCAGAATGGTGGATCTGGCTGGTTTACAGATGACTAAGGTTATTCAGAAAGCTTGCTGCTCTCTATACAAAGAGTTTATTAGCATTGACTTTATTGATGAGGAACACAAATCCACCTGATAGTCATCGCTAACCTGCACCTCTGGGAATAACAGGGAAGCCTGGGAGCCAGAGCAGCACAACTCTCCTTTCCGTGATCGGGCAAGGCTGCCATCCTCAACGCGTTAACATGCAAATAACTAAATTCAAACACAACAAAATCAACTGATAGCACAACAAGATTAGTAGCTTTGCATTAAGAGCATTCCACAAGTCGGTGACAGAGACAAATCCCAGATGCCTTGACCTTGAGTAACTGCTCAGCACACACGCCAGAAGGGTACATGGTCTTCTCTTCCGAGCAGAAGAATAGTCAAAGAGTTTCTTTCACTTACTGAAGCCTTCTTCTTCTTGTTCAGCCTGGTCTAATATGGTCTACACCCCAATCCCCATATAATATGCAAGAAGGTGAAGGAAACTGAAAATTAAAAGGGAGAGGAGGACACTCCTAATGGCTGTTATGGTAGAACATCTATTCTCAGGAGGGAAGCAGCATGTTTACACGCTGTAGGTATTTGCCTCAGCGATTTCCATAAGCAAAGCCAAAGCTGCAAAAGCAGGAACACGTTAACTTCCCTGCAAGTTGTGTCTGCAAAGCTTCCTCCTGGCAGAGAAGGCGGTCGGGCTCCAGAGTCCTCATCTCAAGAGCTCTGACCAGCCACTTTCACACAAGTTCAGGTTCACCGGCCGGGGCACTGCTCGGTAGGACACGCACACCAAACGCAGCTAAGCGCGTGCATGAGTCTTCCAGCTGGGTTCCCTTTGAAATCTGCAGGAGTTTCTCCTCAGACTTCAGCAGAAATTGGGTGGG